GAAACCAAACTGCTCCTTGAAGGCAAGGACTTTGAAGCTCCATCTCACATACGTTGGGCATGTAGTCGAGAGGGATCAGTTCCTGGAGGAGGACATCCTGCTTAGAAAGGAGGGGGAGGGAGAGTGCAGAAGAGGAAAATCATAGATGAGATGGATTAACACAAGAACCAGGTTAGTGAGGATTGGTGTGTTGGAGACGGTGAGGATGGCTCAGGAAAGAGCAGAGTTCAGAGATATTGTACACAGGTTTGCTATGAGTTGCAGGCAACTCGATGGCACATAACAACCATAACATAGCAAACCCACTGCCACCCAATCAAATTCTACTTACAGTGATCCTCCAAAAGTTTTCTAAGGCTGTTTGGATGAATCATTAGGAGATAAGTTTGCTCATCTTTCTCTCAAAGAGAGGCTGATAGGCTCTATCTGTTTTAGCAATTAGCAGTTGACATGCCACCAGGGTTCCAGTGTTTATCTTATTGTTTTCATTGCTGTCAAGTGAGAACAGCCTCAAACTGATCCTCCAGTGAGTTTTCAAAAGATTGAAAATTGCACGGGAAGAGATTGACCATCTTTTCCCATGGAGCAGTTGGTGGCTTTGAATCATTAGAAAGCACTGACCTTTGGGTTAACAACACAACTCAATCCTGTCTATTGCCCATCTTTCTCAAGCAGCATCATTGGTGGATTTGAACCACCTGCTTTTAGGCTGGCAGTACAATCCTTATGCATTTTGGTCACCAGAATCTTCCAGAGAACTAAATACCCTGTGGCCTGCCAAAAGAACTAACAAGTACTGTCTTAAAGGAAGTGTAACCTTAGAAGCAAGGATGGTGGACTTTTCTCTGACATATTTTGAGCACTTTGTTGGGGGAGGATAGTCCTTGGAAAAAGACACTGTGCTGGGAAAGATGGAAGGTCAGAGAAAAAGAAGAAGATCTTAAGACGGATTGGCAAGGTGACTGTAACAATGGCTCTAGCATAGTGGAAAGCGTATTGAATGAGCAGGTTAGGTAAACTTTGGAACTGTTGCTCATAGTTTTGCTAAGTGTTATAATTAACTCAATGGAGTCTAACAACAATAGTCTGTAGTCTTCTAACTCAAAGGCATTGTCTCTGGCATTTTGAATCCACAAGCCGCCTGGTGGGATGAAGATGGCTAATCTCTTTTGTTGTTGTTGTTATGTGCCGTCCA